TTTTTTTCTCACTAATCCACTTACCAATTTTACATCTTAAATTCGATTAAAATTTGGATCTACTGCTAATATTTAATTATACATTATTACAAAATGCCACCTTGTTACATTTAACGCAAATTGTTTTCCAAAATTTTGATAAAAAACTATATTTTTCTATTTTCTCTAATTCACTTATCTATTTTAGATCTTAAAATCTATTGAAATTTGTATGCACTTCAAATTATGCGGACATCTATTTTTCTTTTTAAAAAAATATATATTTTGATATTCTGATGTTGAATTATTATAATAATTGAAATTTGTACATTCTTTAAAGAATACTGACAGTCATTTTTTTTTCTTTTCAAGATATAACATCGTTTAATAACACAGGCACACAAAAAAATAAAAAAAGTCAAAACCCAGAGGTTACACCCCCCTATCCCTATGTTTTTGGGGTCGCTGAAACCGAATATGACCATGAAAATTTTTTTTCATCGGTCATTTTCTCGGTACCACCCCCTTACACCTGCTCCCGGGGGTTGGAATTTCAGTTTAAAAAAAAGTGGAGTGGGGTGTCTATTCCTATGTTTTTTGGGTCGCTAAAACCAAAACAGACTACCAAAAACAAATTCTTCCCTCCCTTAACCCCCTACAACCCCCTTAACAACCCCGGGGTGAGGGGTCAAAATTCGAATTTTCACGAAAAGTCGATTACGGTGTCTAAACCTACGTTTTTTGGGTCGCTAAACCAAAAAAAACAACAAAAATCAAATCCTTTCCACCCCGACCCCCTACAACCCCCTGCAATAATTTAAAAAAAACGAACCGATTTTTGGGAAATTGAAAATTAAATATTAATTATCAAAAATTATTGCAGGGGGTTGTAGGCGGTCGAGGGTGGACAGGATTTGATTTTCGTAGTCTTTTTTGGTTTCAGCGACCCAAAAAACGTAGGTTTAGACACCGTAATCGACTTTTCGTGAAAATTCGAATTTCGACCCCCCACCTTTCGTGTGTTAAGGGGGTTGTAGGGGGTTAAGGGAGAAAAGAATTTGTTTTTGGTAGTCTTTCTTGGTTTTAGCGACCAAAAAACATAGGAATAGACACCCCACTCCACTTTTTTTTAAACTGAAATTCCAACCCCCGGGAGCAGGTGTAAGGGGGTGGTAGCGAGAAAATGACCGATGAAAAAAAATTTTCATGGTCATATTCGGTTTCAGCGACCCCAAAAACATGGGGATAGGGGGGTGTGACCTCTGGGTTTTGACTTTTTTATTTTTTTGAGTGCCTGTGTAATCTTTCATCGAATTATCATAATAAATAATATTTTCGATTTCTTGTTTCTTATACAAATATGCTGCTCCGAGTATTGTTCTTTTTCTAAGTCCGCCATATTGGATCCGCCATTTTAAAATTTAGAAACCTAACATTGGATTCGAAATCTACGATTTCAGAAATCCCCGATTAGTGAAAATCGAGAATCTTGATATCTACTCTGCACGGAGAGAAAAATCAAGCGTTTGTAGTAAGACATGGTCTATACTTAAAAAGCACGGCGCTGTTTATACTCGATTTGTAGAAATCTATGCTAAAAGAGTATTGGTCTCTACTAAAAGAGTATAGGTCCCTACTCTTTTATCATAGATTTCTACAAATCGAGTATAAACAGCGCCGTGCTTTTTAAGTATAGACCATGTCTTACTACAAACGCTTGATTTTTCTCTCCGTGTGGTTGTTACATTAATATAGTTAATTTAATATTGCTATTGAGGTACTAAGTATTTGTCATATTTAACGCTCAATCGCTCCTTGCTCATTTTATTGAATTTAACAATTTTTTACAGCATCTTCATATGATATTATTGCTGTTTCGGAGACCTTGTTTAATTCTAATTTACCTTCTAATTTTTTTCATATGCATAATTATATACTTTTTTAAAATGATAGAATTAGGTGCAGAGGTGGAGGAGTCTGTTTATACATTCGCAATAGTCTACAGTGTTTTTGTTTATTAAAGTCCAAACAAAAGATGATAATGCTTTGATTGGTGTAGTATATAAACCACCTGGAATATCTTTCGGAAAGGATTTGAAAAATCAAATTTTTTCACTTACACATACTTTTAATAATGTAGTAATTATAGGTGACTTTAATTGCAATCCAAATATATCATCACCAATAACTAATTATTTATCTAACGGCAATGGTTCACATGGCAGGTTTGTGTGTGGTACCTTATGGTTCGACTCATCATGTAAACATTTCCAGTACAAAAATTGATTTGATTCTTGTAAATGATCTTGATAATGTACTTTCGTTTAATCAACATCCGGTATCGTTTTTGTCTAATCATGACCTGATAAATATTACCCTTGAATTCGAGAGAGACTCAATTGAAATTAATAAACAGTGTACTTTAATAAGAAATTTTAATAATATTCCTCATGATGATTTTTTATTGCATTTGTCTACTTATGATTGGGTCAGCATTTATAATGAAACCGATGTAAATTTTAAAGTTCACAAACTTACTACCTACTTAATTTCTGCTTTCGATACATATGCACCATTGCACATAATTAAGAATAAAAAAAATATTCTCCATGGATGACTGACGAATTGATATCTCTGATTAAGAAAAGAAATAGATTACGTAATATAGCTAGAAGAACGAAAATAAATGTTGATCAGGTTAAGTTTAGAAGAATGCGTAATATGGTAAAAACTAAAATTAGAGATTCTTACAATAAGTATAATTACAATAAAATAAAAAACAAGAGTAAAAATGAAGATGTATGGCAAATATTGAGAAAACTTAATCTTATAGCAACTAAAAAGGGGGTAACAAATGCTAATTTTTAAGTACAGGAATTTCTTGACATTTTTTCTATTACTCCTTTCACTGTTCCTCCTCTCACTTCTGACCCATCAACTGTAAATTTCGATAATTTTGATGACAGTAATTTTTTCTTTCATGATGTATCACCTATGTACAGATCTGTCGGAGAGTTTAACATCAATCAGGACGAATGCAACTGGCCCTGACAAGATTTCTATTAAAATGATTAAAGTAGCCCTTCCGATTATTTTTCCCGTCTTATTGCATATATATAATTTCTCTCTCCAAACAGGAAAATTTCCTGAAATGTGGAAAAAGAGTTCTGTTCGTCCTATACCAAAAACAAATAATCCAAAGAGTCCTAGTGATTATACACCTATTTCGATTATCTGCGCTCTGTCCAAACCATTAGAAAAAATTGTTTGCAAACAAATGACCTCCTTCCTATCTACTAATAACTTGCTTGAACCTTTACAATCTGGTTTTCGCTCTAATCACAGTACCTGTACTGCAGCATTAAATTTTACAACTGATATCAAATTCGCAATGGATTCTAAAAATATTACAATAATTGTATTTTTCGATTTTGCAAAAGCCTTTCCATCAGTTAATCATAAATTACTATTACATAAACTCCGCTCTTTCAATATGTCTAAATCGGTCTGCGCATGGTTCGAATCATATCTTGATGCCAGATTTCAAAGAGTTATTAATGACAATGGTGAAACTTCGGACTGGGATGTTTTGCGATGTGGTGTTCCCCAGGGTGCATCACTTTCTTCATTATTGTTTAATCTGTTTGTTTTGGATCTTGGTAAACAACTCAAATTCTGTAAATACCACAAATATGCCGACGATTTTAAATTATATCTGCCTGGTCCGTGGTCGTCCATTGATAATTTACTTAAGATGTTTCAAACAGATATCGACTATTTTGTTCAGTGGGCTAAAGACAACGGACTTGCCCTTAACTTTAATAAAACCCAGGCCATGATAATTGCATCTTCTAACAATCCTACCTCTGAAACTCTTCTTACTCTCAAACCTCTAACTGTAGGAGGAATTCCTATTTCCTATAAAGAGACAGTTAAAGATCTCGGATTGATTTTGGATTGGACTCTATCTTGGCGAGAACATGTTTATAATATTTCTCGTAAATCATTTATAGTTTTACAGCAACTAAATAGAAAGAAGGAGTTTTAGTATTAGCATTGTATTAAACATCTTTAATAATATATATTGTTGTTATTATTGTTTTTTTATTAAGATATACTTATCACAATATACAACTATGTACTGTTCCTTGAAGGGCTTGTTAGCCCTAGGAACTTTAATCAAATAAATAAACAGAATTACCGAGTAGTGAGTACTATATTTCTACGTTACAGTTTACACACATTACATTCTTCATTCACACATATATATCTACTCTGTTTTACACACTCACTATCATTTTATTCTTTTAAAGATATAAAAGTTAGATATTTAATTGTATTAGGGACTTTTGGGTAAAATACATATTTTATTGTTATCAACATAATTTTGCATTATAATTTTAACATCTTAATAAATTATCCTATCTTCTCTTACTTTATTCAACAGTAGGGTTCTCAACCTCTTAGTTGAATAAAAACTAAGTAGAGGGGGAATCCACTACCTATACGTTTTTCGTCCGAACTTTAACTAGCGTTAGTTAAAGTTTTAAAATTAATCTTTTTAAAATCAAAATATTAAATTTATCTAAATCTTACTATAACACATGTAATACGAAACATGCAAAACACAAATAAGATAACGGCTCAACGCGCTACAGACATTTTCTACAGTTGTTGCCAACATAACACACACAAAAAACTTAAACCTGACATTTTTTTCATTTTGAGTCACTTGAAGTTGCCGATTACTCATTTCGAGTCACTTGAAGTTGTCGATTACTTATTTTGAGACCGACTTCCAAATGACTTGCAACAAAAATGAGTCGGGTTTTTTTCTGTGAGTACTCCTAATTTCAAGCCGTTCTGTAGACGCAAAATTTAGTATTAAGTTTAATAATAAGGAAATTTGTAAAGAAAATTACGAAAAATGTAAAAACACTTGTATAGCCAAGTATGTAAGGCTGAAGACAGGTACATAAACCAATAAATAAATAAAAAAATATTTTCTTGACTTTTTTCAGTTTTTTGACAGATTCAGAATGAACCATTTAAAATGGACAATTTTGACACTCGTCATTCAAAATTTGATATTTTTCTGCAAATTTTAAGTGGTATTTCAACGATTTTCGTTCAAACTGAAGATGGGAAGCATGGTGGTAAAGTTGAGAAAGAATGCCCCCTAAAAAACATGCAGTTTTGAAGCTTAAATATTGTTATTGTAAGTTGATATTGTTATTATAAACAAAAAAAAACACTCAGATATAATAATATTTAACTGCTACCTACTATAAATAATTGTCTATATTGATCTCAATTATGTAGGAATTTAAGGACCTAGGGTAAGGAAAACAAATCCTGTATCGTTCCATTATTATAAAATAATAAATTTTGTATTCAAAGATCATCTTTTTAATTGGCCCCACCTAAATATTTGCACTTTATCTAACCGAATAAGAAATTCTTATAATATCTTGAAGCCTCAAAACTATTCAAAATTTTGAGCTCTTGTATAAAATTTTTTTTTACTTTAAAACCTCGAATCCAATCGAGTATTCAATACATCGAGTCAGGCTCGGCTATTCGATTTTTTTCACACTTTTAGCAATAATTATTTTGCCCTCTTTTAAAAACAACCCCTAACTTAAACAACAGCACTTTTCAACACTTATATTTGTTAATGATAGGAACATGCTACGTATATGTTATAAAATAATTGAAAAACATGTTAGAAGGGTAAATCAAGCAACACTTTTTTATAAGAAATATAATGTTTATTAATAACTGAGAATGTAGTTTTAACTTTTTAACGATAAGTAATTCTTTCGCAGCTAGCTGCCTCTTTGCCGAACCGTGCTCAATGCTTTCCATATCTAATCTGATCTCTCAATTCTCCGGTTTACCGCCTAAAATACTATGAGCTATACTAGCTCCGTCTTTAATATAAAATAGCAATTTAAAATATAGCGCGTATCTTTAAAATGCTAACAAACATATTTAACATGTTAAAAATAATTGACAATCTCATTATTTCTTTTTGTATAACCCGTAAATTTTTAATATGATAATTCCTTGAATTTTTTTACTTTACAGATCCTGACATTCTTCAACAAATAGAACTCGATGTTCAAGTGTAGTTACTAATGTTACTTTCAAATTAAAAGGAAAAGGTATATTACATGTGACACCTTTTTACATAATTACAATGTAATAAGTAAATATGTTATTTAAATAGTTATTTATTTAGTGAAGTGGAATTGATAAGTATACTTATTTCTATAATAAATTAACGTAATAATACAGTTTTTAAATCAAAATGTATAAGTGATTTACTTCTAGTGTAAATATTTTTTTTTAAGTATGGTTAATTTCAATTTTTGTAATGTTCATAATCACGTTACCCTTCAGATTTACTACTTCTTATTAATTTTTTAATGTTTGGAAATTTCTTGAACTATATATTAATATAATTAAAATAAATAAATATTAACTAAATATTAACTATATTTAAATTTGTTAAAAACCTCAGTGTAACATCCCGAAATATTGTAAACTTTATGTATTTTCATAAATTATTATTTCTTTTAATAGACAAATTCCATATATTAAAGACCATAATAAAATACACTACGGTCCACGAGTATCAGGACGATTACACGCGACTCTATGAAATATTTTTAAATGCCATCACTTTTTCAATCATTTCGTTAACTATTTTTTGTGTTGTAGAGTGAGAAAGAAAACAAAAAATTATCAAATTTTCTTATTTTGGTCTCTTAATTCCAACTTTTTCCAAAATCTAGAAAAATTTAGATAAAATTTTTTTAAGAGGACAGTACACCACTTTTGCGTGTTTTTTCAACATTTATTTTTTCATAGTAAAATGTATCGAAACACTGGGCTCTTTTCACACATATTAACACACATATTGAGGATTGAGAAAAAAATATTTTTATTTATTCTGCCCTTCATGGCGACACAATGGCGGCTGAAGTGATTGTCCGGAAAAAACTGGTTGACACGATATCTCTGCTTCAAAATGTCGGAAACAAAAAAACCAAAGAATTTCTTAAAATATATGTCAGTGGCTATGGCATGAACCACAAAAAATGAATTTGAAAAAAAATATGAGTAAATGGCGGCGGTTTGAATTTTTTTACCCCTTTTTCGTCCCTAAAACGGTAAAAAAAATGGTGTTAAAAATGGATGTAGAATGTTGGTTGTGGTTCATGCCATAGCCACTGACATACATTTTAAGAAATTCTTTGGATTTTTTGTTTCAGACATTTTGAAGCAGAGATATCCCAGTGGGCACACTTGTTCAAAAGACGTCCTAAGGATGTCTTTTTGCGGACGTCTTTTGGACTTGTACAAAAAGACGTCTTAAAGACGTCCTATTCATGTTCTATGTCTTGGCCATTAGATGTCTTTAAGGTGTCTAAAAGACGTCTTTTTCATTCAACATTTGAAAATAGAAAAATTTTCATAAATAGAAAATATTATTTTCTAAGTTCAACTTGGACTTAGAAATTTTTGAATGTGAAATTCATTGGAATTTTTCTAAGTTAAATTCATTTCATTGACAAGTGAGATCGTTAACTTTGTAGAGGTTCATATCTGTCTTGAACGGCTGAGGTGCTTAAAGCACAGTGTTTCAAGCCCAAGGTATCCGAGTTCGATCCCAGCTTCATAGGAATTTTTTCATTATTTCTCCACATTTTAGAAGAAATAAAATTAAACTTAAAATAAATTTAATACAATATTACTGAATTTCAACTTAGAAAATGTTATAAAAGAAATGTTTATTTAAGATCTGAAGGAATGTGAAAAGGACGTCCAAAAGACGTCTTAAAGACGTCTTTTAGACGTCCCTCTTATGTCTTTTAGACGTCCTTTCTTATGTCTTTTAGACGTCTTTTGGACCAGACATAGAACGTCTTTTAGACGTCTTTTAGTTGTCTTTTTGATGACTCAGAGACATTGCCATCATTGTCCCCGAATCGTCCGCGGACAAAAAGGGACGTCTTTAAGACGTCTTTTAGACGTCCCTGTGCCCACTGGGATAGTGTAAACCAGTTTTTTCCGGACAATCACTTCAGCCGCCATTTTGTCGTCATGAAGGGCAGAATAAATAAAAAAACATTTTTTTCTTAATCCTCAATATGTGTGTTAATATGTGTGAAAAAAGCCCAGTGTTTCGATACATTTTACTATGAAAAAATAAATGTTGAAAAAACACGCAAAAGTGGTGTACGTTCCCCTTAAAAAAGACAGAAATCTTTGTTAGAGTTTTAGCTTTAAAATACCTAAGCTTTAAAAAATTAAAAAATGTTAATCCGTCATCGATTTATCATAAAAAAGGTGAAGCCGTGTTACGACCGATCGGTGCATTAAAATTTAACTATGACGCCTCGATTCTGGCTTCATGCGGCTGCGAATTGAGAGAAAGCAGGGACGAATATATGCAGGGGAATTATAAATAATTACGTTTCACAAAGAATATAAAGAAACTCGAAAGTTAATCGTTCCCCAGCAAACATTCGTCCCTGCTTTCTCTCCCATTCGCAGCCGCGCGAAGCCAAAACCGAGTCGTCACTGTTGAATTTCAATGCACCGATCGGTCGAAATACGGCTTCACATTTTTAATGATAAATCGATGACGGATTAACATTTTTTAATGTTCTAATGCTTATTTTAAAGCTGAAATTCTAACGAAGATTTCTTTGGTTTTTAAAGAAGTTGAAGTCAAGAGACCAAAATGAGAAAATTTGATAATTTTTCTGTTTCTTTCTCACTCTACAACTCAAAAAATAGTTAACGAAATGAATTCAAATACGGCTTATTTTACGAAAAATTTAATCAGATTTCTAACCGTTTTTAATTTTTTTTGTATCTCCTTTTATTGTCGAGATATGATTGAAAAAGTGATGGCATGTTTTTTCATAGAGTCGCGTGTAAATTAATGTATCTATTAATTTAAGCGCAAAAAGAATACAGTCATTTAAATTATTATTGCATTACCGTATTTTGGTATTATCTTTTGAAAATTGTTATTTTTTAAAAATTATTCATCAAAACGGGAATATCTTTTTGGATTCCTAAAATTAGATATTATTTCTATTAACTGAATTTTGAGTAAATAAATATTGTGCAAATTGATAATAACGTAAATTAAATATAAATAAATAAATTAAGTCAATTTAAGAAAGCCTCTGCAGTGACAGGCAGAAATATATAATTCAATTAAGAATATCGGAGGCCTCCGTTAAAAAAGATATTCAAGGAGCTAAGCAGGTAAAGAGATTCCTGGCGTGTATATTTGTATATGAATCCCGAATATTCAAGAGCTGATGGAAGATGTATACTATTCGTTGTTTGGGTCCTAAAAAATACAGGCAGTTGACATCTTGACTTAAAAACTATACTATTGACTTATTGACGAAAATGGTGGATGCATGCAGACGAGCACGCTGTCAAAGGGACTTACAAAAGAGAGTGAGGGAGTGTATGCGCGCATACGGATATATGAGGCAGTATTACAGCCGCTAGACTCAATTGAGCATTTACCGCAAATATCAGTTGTAACGTAAAAAAAAGTGACTTTTTCAAGAATTTTTTCATAATAAACCATGAAACTTTTTAAAAAATACTGTTTATTACCTAAAAGTACATATCTTTAATTAAAAAAAAATTTAACAAAATCATTCTGAGATATGTGCCATTAAAGTGACTCCTTTAGAAATAACATGAATTTCGATGACCAGCATTCCACAAGTAAAGTTCGTCTGAAATTCAAAAATAAAATTTATTTACATTTATTATAAGATTATAATTTTAGTTCCCAAACGAAGAATTAAAAAAAACACATTTGACAAAATAGCGGCCTGTCAAAGTTAAGAGCATGATTTTTGTTAAAAAAAATAAAGGTCGATTTTCAGCTGTAGGAAAAATGTTTTGCATAAAAAAATAAATCCTTCGATTGAGAACTCGATAACACAAGCACAAAAAAAATTGTGATTGTCAGGACTGCCATGTGGTAGGTTCTCTTCCTTAAGATGTATCTAAAGAGAAAAACGTGGTCCGACCTCAAAGTTAGTTCGCGTTCTCTTTTTACAGGCATGGTGGTGTTGTGAAGTTTAGGAATTTGATTTCTATGGAAATTTACTTAATTTCTACATCTAACATTGATTTTTCACTTCTTCTGTATACTGATTTGGATTCAGTGACTATAACAACATAAAAGTTGGATATATAAACAAATTTTAAATAGCGAATTCACAATTTCGGATCTAAAATGATGGAATTTTTAAAAAATTGTTTGGATTTCCTTGCAACTTCTTACTCGGGGGTTTTTGGGGTCGCTGTTTACGAATATGATGTTAGTTTTTAAGAATTCAGAATGGCGGATCGAATATGGCGGCCAAAAACATTTTGAAATGTTTAAAATGAATTAATTTAACTGAAACTTGTTACTTGGTGGGTGCTTTCTGGGTGGCTAAATTAGAATCTGCCTTTAGATTTTAAGAATTTAACCCTCTGCCTACGCATACTTATCCCCACTCTAGCGCTTTTGAATGTAATTCCCATAGTCCCCACCGTGCGTTCACGTAACTTTTCACTTTCAATTTTCACCCAAAAAAATTTTCAATTTTAACTTTCACTTTCAACATTCACCCAAAAAAATTTTTTACTTTCAATTTCACTTAAAACATTTTCACTTTCAACTTTCAATTTCGCTTAAAACATTTTCACTTTCAACTTTCAATTTCGCTTAAAACATTTTCACTTTCAATTTTCGCCCAAAAAAATTTTCACTTTCAATTTCACCCAAAAAATTTTTACTTTCAACTTTCACTCAAAAAATTTTTACTTTCAATTTCACTGAAAAAATTTTCACTTTTACCTTTCACCCTATAAAATTTTTACTTTTAATATCACCCAAAAATCTTTTACTTTCAATTTCACCCAAAAAATTTTCACTTTTAACTTTCACTCAAAAAATTTTAACTTTCAATTTCACCCAAAAAATTTTTACTTTTAACTTTCACCCAAAAAAATTTTACTTTCAACTTCCACTCAAAAAATGTTCACTTTCAATTTTACCCAAAAAATTTCCACTTTCAACTTTCACCCAAAAAAATTTTCAGTACCGGTATATTTCCATATTTACCACTGGGCCAATACTTTGCTGGTCATTATTTAACATCCGGCCCAGTTTATTTTTGCCGGTACTGGCATATGTCCGACTTTACAACAGATCTGGTATCATGTCGGTCGTCAGTGCTGGCACACCTTTAACTTTTTTGCTTACACGGACTTAAA